CTCTTGCTGATATGACAGCTGTCTACATCAGTCCAGGCCTAAAAAACTGGTATACCAATCTACCGTACATCACCTCTGCCTACAACACGGCTGTTCAGCGCACCACTGGATGTTGGCGGTTCTACCTCGTTTATGGACATTCTCCTACTTCTTCGACGTTTACTTTTGCAACACCTATGTCGACTCGTCTCCGTCTTCCAGCGAGGAATACATCTTAAGACTAGCCTGGTGTCACGATCGTACTCACATCAACACGGAAGCGTGACAGCAAGATTGAAAAGTCATTTATGAAGCATCCCATCGCCTTGTATTCTTCCGACCTGGTTACGAGGTGCTCCTGTTCACTCATCTTCACTGGGCGTCACCACAACCTTCATCGGGTGTGTACATGCGCACGCTCTATCATAGACTTTCGTTGCTACTGAGCGCTTGCGCTGAAGAAACGCTGTCTCAACCCTGACGTCATATAAATATATATATATATAGATATATATATATATATATATAATATAATATATATATATATATATATATATATATATATAATATATATATATATATATATATTATATAATATATATATATATATATATATATATATATATATGGCATGGTGGTTGAGTGGCCGTAGCGTTGCATATAGTCTAGTAGATCCTCCGTGAGCGGTCACAACGTGGTTTATTTCGACGTTTCGGCCTAGAGTCTGGCCTTCATCAGGAAGAAGGCCAGACTCCTAGGCCGAAACGTCGAAATAAACCACGTTGTGACCGCTCACGGAGGATCTACTAGACTATATATATATATATATATATATATATATATATATATATATATATATATATATATTATATATATATATATATATATTATATATATATATAGGGCCCCCATATATATATATGAAAAACAAGTGTTTTTGGTTCCAGTGGCAAAATGCCAAGAAGTAGAGGACGGGCAAAACGAAAACTTTTTATTTTTCCTACGCTTCAGCCGGGGACCGGCCTTCATCAGGGAAAACACGATACGAAAATGCGCTTTTCTTAAGTAAGCATGGTATATCAGGGGTGCTGACACGTGAACTATCCCTATCATAGATCCTCATTGAACGAGGGTCTCGTAATGGCAGACTTGGTGAGTTTAGGTTGTATAAGAGGGACAAATAATCAGCTGACCGCTCATAATAGGTTCACGTGCTACGTGACGCAAAACATGCGCATAAGAGTGTTTTCACACTCGTCGCTTGGCTTATAGATGGCGCTGACTGTCACTCCTACTTCTAAATTCACATATAAACCCAAAAAAGTGGGTGGAGGGAAGGCCGCTGTGGTAGCTCAGTGGTTAGAGCATCGAACGCGTTATTCGAAGGTCGTAGGTTCGATTTCTGCTCACGGCTGCTTATTTTTTCATCCACTTTTCTTTCTTCTTATTTACATTCCATTAATTCTAATAACTTCCCCTGTACATTCCTTGGCATTACTGTCTGTTAGATCTCATTAATATATATATATATATATAATATAGATGAAATAGTTTGATCAGAGTTTCTTCCGGCTACCGTAATAAAAGTTAAAAACTTCGAGAATAGTGCAGTATAGGAAACAAAACAATAAAATATTTTTTTTATCCTAACAGTTTCGGCTGGTGGACCAGCCTTCTTCGGAGGATGTAAGTGAAATGGTACAAGTTACCGTAGTAGAGGGTCACCCTCACAGTATAAAGACCCTCCAAAACAATAAAAAAACGAGACAAACGGGCGAACGAGGTAGCAACAGACAACAAGAAGCAGAAGAAAGAGAGGAACTGGAAAGGAGCGACGGAGAGCCGCCGGAAACGAGCGGGTATTTCTGGCATTGTTACTGTTGTCTGTTGCTACCTCGTTCACCCGTTTGTCTCGGTTTTTTTTATTGTTTAGGAGGGTCTTCAAACTGTGAGGGTGACCCTCTGCTACGGGAACTTGTACCATTTCACTTACATCCTCCGAAGAAGGCTGGTCCACCAGCCGAAACTGTTAGGATAAAATAAATATTTTATTGTTTTGTTTCCTATACTGCACTATTCTCGAAGTTGATAACTATATATATATATATATGTATATATATATATATATATATATATATATATATTTATATATATATCCTGTATTCTGTCTTGAAAGATCACCCCTTATTGCCCGAAGGCGTTATAGCAGGGGGTTACAGGCACAAACAAACAAATCTTTATTAGGAAAGCACACTTACTTTTTACACAGCCGGTTCCACAGTAAAATACTCCTGTCATAGAACAAATTTGACAAGTTCGTCCTGGTACGGTATTCAAGTAATAATAAAATATGGTCATTACGCTTAGAAACGTAATGCCGCTGTTTCCATAGTTCTGGATTTTTATATACAGTCTTGTTATTATAGATATAAAAACTTCATTCTCAGCTTTTTTGCTTCGATGAGAAAGAAGTTCCATTTTTGAGTGGTGTTTCATTTCTGTACAGCTTTCGTTCCACTCGTGCTGACTCGGGACGAACCTAGCTGCACAATTTTTTCTCATTTTTCAAATTATCGGTTAGATTTTTTAGGGGTAAAGCTGCGGAAGTTGTGGGTTGGTCCCTCCTATCTCGTGGCAAGTGACAGCCTAGCTTGATGACTCACTCAGCAGGTGTGGGTGGACGGATGGACCAACATACAGACAGACGGATGGCCGGACAGACGGACGGACATCTAGAAGGACAGATGAGCGGACGGACGGACGTACGGACAGGATGGACAGGCAGCAGGCAGGCAGGCAGGCAGGCAGAGAGACTAGAGGCACGAACAGACGATTGGACAGGGAGATAGATGGATGGATGGACGGAGGATGAACATACAGACAGACAGACAGACAGACAGACAGACAGACAGACAGACAGACAGACAGACAGACAGACAGATGGCCGAACATAGAGATAGACGGATGGACAGACAGATGGACGACCGAACGGGCGGTCGGTTCACGATTTACCAATCAAACCCTGCGAAGCTTCTCATCGTCATTCATTACGTGGATAAGCTGGCAAATTTTTAGCAGGGTCCCAGACAGTACAGGCGTCCTCCAAGATTGGTCTAACACATCTTAAGTTGGGGTGTTTCTTTCTTTTTTAAGTTAATTTTGGTTCCGGACATTTCACATTCTTCTAGATAAACCTGATCGTTCGACGAGCTTTAAGGAAATGTCTTTCATCCACATGAGCAGATCATGAACAGCCGCATGAAAATGTAACAAATAAGTACATTTATGTAGGCGCAGTTTTTGTCAGGGCATTGTTCTTGCTGGAAATCAGTTGCAATCATTTTCTCTTTGTTTTTCGCAAAAGCAACGCGGACACACTCCTCTGGGTTCAAGTTCATCTTGCACGTGGAACACAAAGTATTATTACATTTCCCGTTCAGTTGTGATAAAGCAGGATTATCGTCCCCCTAATGTTTAAAGAAACAACATAATCATCGGCAAATAACTGTATTGACGAAGCACGTTTCTTAGTAATATCAAAATAAAGCAAAAACAAAAGTGGCCCTAAAGCTGAGTGCCTTGGGACTTCTCTTGTGACTGACTAATAATAATATCAAGTGAAAACAAAACTGGTCCTAAGCCTGAGCACTGTGGGACCCCTGACGTTACTTTCACCTACGGCGAGCTCTTGCTGTTCAAAAGAACTCATTGCTGACGATGAGATGTCATCGTCAAGATTGGCTGCAAAATTGATCGCACTCTGAAATATGACCTTCTTGAGTTTGCGTTTCCTTTTCCTTAGTGTCTTATCACTCGGCGTGATTATCTTCGCTGCCTCATATGATTTATTCACGTTCTTTCTTTTTTGTTGTTGTTATCGTGCCATTTGCCTAAAGCGACACTAAAGGCAACTATGAAGTCAACAGTGCTCTTTGAAGTAAAGATCCAGAAACCAGGTAGTTTTATTTTTGTGCCAAGGAAGCGCCTATTGACAAATGAAATCAGGTTTAAGTGACCCACATAAAGTTAGCACACTTCAATTTACCCACCTCATGCGAAACGTCTACGTCGCTGTTGCCATGCGCGATGCTGCCCAGCTATACGGCGCGGCCGCCGACTAGTAGCAGCTGAACGGTAGTAGTGGGAGCAACAGCAGCAACTACGGCCATTGAACAATATCCTGTTACGGCTTCCAAGATGGCAGACGTGCTTGATTCAACTGGGTGCCGCTGGATGGCACGGCTTGTCATGTATAACAGGCAAAATTGAATCTTTGAACCACTAGCACTATTCTTCATATTAATGTCCGGGGGTTCTTTCCTTCATGAATCAAACAAAAACGAAAAGGCTGCATATTATTACGTCTCTTGATGCATGGAAAGTTCTGTATATAGTGCAGCTTGTTCGATTACTCGAGATTCATTGTAGATGGTACCTCCTATGTCAATTGGATCGTTTCGCGAATGCCCTACGCGTAGCGGATGTCTTTTCGGGCACTTACATTAATTTCTCGGTAAATAGGGCACTGCTGTTGATAATATTGTTCTTTTAGACGTCGTACATTGAGCTTTCATTCTGAAAAAAAAAATCGTATTTGACTTCAGCATTTTTTTGGTCTTTCACCGGCTAGTTCGGTACTGGGTTCCAGTATCATTCACTCTGCATACCGCAGTAAAAGGAATGCCTGAAGTGCCACTGGCGTATCAGAGCTGCCAAACGCCACAAATAAAGTGCGAGCAGCAGAGAAAATGTAATTCACTATTGGTGAAGCAGTCATTGCTATGCTTTGTGTTTCACTTGTCTGCTTGTATTTCAGGGACCTAACAGCCTGTAAGCTAGGGTAAAATTATTTAAAACATGAAGTTCTTGAAAAAAAAAACTGCTCTGAATTCTCGTTAGTGTATTCAAGAAAACTGAAATCGAAGATTCGGTTTCGTTCTGAGCTCTCCCGTACGCAAGCGACGGTTTCGTTTCTTTAAAATCTAGTGCAGGTGCTTGGGTCAAAGCCTGTAAATAAAAAAATGCCTACGTTCATATCTCGCACTACTGAATGCCACGATGCCAGCTTTCCTCCTTTTCAACTCGTTAACGCAGAAGTGGAAGAAGTTCCCTCAGGGGATCTCGTGCCTGGTGACGTTATCTGCGTACCAGCGTCGGGATGTCTCATGACCTGTGATGCAGTTCTCACTGCAGGCAACTGTCTCGTCAATGAAAGCTTACTGACAGGTGAGAAGCCTATCTGCCTTTGTTTTTCCTAGCATGCTGAATGTTTCGCAAGTGGTTGGTTCAGCCCTCAGTGACCTTACAAAAGTTGGTGCAACACTGATGATGCTACGTATATAACTCCGTACAAATGTTTTGTGGAAATCTTAAAATTGAGCGAACAAGCACGCCTGCTCCTTTCCAGAGAAGAACACTGCATGTCGTGTTTACACCCTTGTAGCAGAAAGGGGCAATAAAATGGCGCGAAGCAGACAACACAAGCGTGGCACTTGGGTAGGTTTTAGTTGTTTAGAAGGCTGAGTGAACGTCGACAGAAGTGCAAGAATAGAGGAATATTGCGCCAAAGTGATGTCACATACTTCCTTTCTCGCCCTAGCATTTGTTGGCGATCAAGGTTCTTGCCACAAAACAAAAGACAAAGGCCTATGCATACTTTATTAAGTCTAGAATGGCACAAAAAAAATCTCACTTTGCTGACACCACAACGTGTGAGGATAAGAATTTCGCGAAGTATTAATTTTTCATATCCGTGCGATTCTCCAAGTCGATCTTACGTAGTGTTCTATAGAGTAAGTTTTTTTCCCACAAGCAAGGAACGGGTCATTGAAGTCTACGAATGTGCTCTCTGTTTACATTTGTTACAGCGGAAACTGTTCTATGATGACAACCAGCCAACTTGGTGGCTGCTTGTCCACCACCGCTCTCTCTCGGGATCTTTAATTACTGTCACGCACGATGACTAAAACTGTGCAGGATAGGAAGAAATTTCAACACGTAGCCTCTGCGTGGTAATCGAATATTCTACCGTGAAACTGGGCTGGCGTTCTAAGAATTCTTCACAAAAAGACGCTATGAACGTGCCATGTTGGGAGAGAAACAAGGTTAACATATTTAATACAGGGTGGTACAAAGGGCAAAATGACCAGCCGTCTCGCAATGAGGCTTGCATAATGAGTGGGTGTTCTAAAGCTTCCCAACCAACACGGATATCCCCACCATAACTCTTCATCGTCATCAGCCGCAGCATGAACGAAAGTGCACATGATGGCACACGAAGGAGTTGGCTCACCTCTACGCGGAATGCTAAATATTGCGGTACTGTGTAAAATCGTAGCTCACGAAATATAATTTTTACGTAGTATGGTTATTAGGCATGCTTGCGACATGAGTAGGAACAGACAATATTGATGCCCTCAAAAGCGACCAAATGTGAAAATATGCCAAACACGGCCAAAATCAAGAATGTTTGCTAAGTTTGTGGACTTTGGCGCGTTTCATTGTTTGATATGTGGGATTTAACGTCCCAAAACCACCATATGATTGTGAAAGAGGCCGTAGTGGAAGACTCTGGAAATTTAGACCACCTGGGGTTCTTCAACGTGCACGCAAATCTGCGCACACGGGCCTACAACATTTCCACCTCCCGCAGAAATGCAGCCGCCGCAGACGGGACTCGATCCCACGACGTGCAGATCCGCAGCCGAGTACCTTAGCCACTACGCCACCGCGGCGAGGCGCATTGGCGCGTTTCCACTTGTACTAAAGAATTGACTTTCTATCTATATATATATATATATATATATATATAGTATATATATATATATATACATAATATATACATAATATATATATATATATATATATATATATATATATATATATATATATATATATATATATATATATATATATATATATATATATATTCATATATATTATACCAAAAACAAAGTGATGCTGGGTCCGGGTAAGATTATCCGTATGGGAAGAAGACGCACGTACAAGGTGATTTTATTGACGTTTCGGCCGTGGGTCCAGCCTTCATTAGAATACAGTTTATGGCACGAGTGCTGTTTATATGCATGTGCATATCAATAAGATACCAACAATCTGTATCTTATTGATATGCACATGTATATAAACAGCACTCGTGCCATAAACTGTATTCTGATGAAGGCCGGACCCACGGCCGAAACGTCAATAAAATCACTTCGTACGTGCGTCTTCTTCCCTATACGGATAATCTTACCCGGACCCAGCATCACTTTTATTTTTGGTATACTGAAACAATGGCTCCGGAGCCGACCACGTCGAAGCACATTTACTGGAGGTACCCAAAGATTGTACCATCTATGACTGTCGTAGAAGACTCTCAGACGAAGCACATTCATCAGTACTTTCGATACAGCGCTGGCTGATACTCCAGCATTTGTGTCCCAGTGCGGTGCTTTAATCACTGACGTGCCAGCTCTATTAGATTTCGTGCCTCGGAACACCACTAGCAATCGTCCTACACGTAGGTACCAACGACCCACTTCGAGCCTCAGCACAGGAAGCTTTCGAAAGCTACTGTGAAGTTACCGACCATATTGCCAAGGAACGACTCGAAGTCACCTTGATGTACGCCATCCTCATCCTACCAAGGACCAGAAACCGCTGACGATGGCACCCCAGTGAAACATTCGTGCGTTGCTTCAACCGTGAAGCGTACTATTTTAACGCTCTGCTAAAGAATTTGTGTTGCCGCTCTTGACTGGTATCTTTCCTGGATCACGCCTTCGAATGGTTGCCTTCGCACCGCGTACTGGCCGCTGATGGCTTGCATCATAACTTTGAAGGGGTTTCGTTCATGGCGAGCCATATTCGGCACATTTGTTACAAGCCATCCAGCACAATGTACCACTCCTGGCTGGACAGTGTGCCCACTGATCCACCTCAGCATCACGCAAGGAGGCCTACCGTTGTGCGCGAGTCGTCTGACACAGCACTGGTGACTGGCCAAATAAGAAGTTGTGCTTCCCCTCAGAAGCCACCATCGCCCCACGAGCGAGTGACGCAGGACTATCGCAACAAGGTTGCTTCGAAAAGTTGCCCCACAGACTCCGCTACGAGAGGTTTGTCAATTGGACCTTCGCATTCAGCAAAGGACCCTCCAGATCCCTCAGCCAGTGGTCACCGCTACAAGCTTCGCAGCAATACCCAAACCGTGCGACTGGGACCTGCTGATTGACTACAGACTTTGTCACCCGGTAGAAACACTTCTTGCCTCTGTTCAAAGGAATTTTAGGGGCGAAGCTCCTTAGGGCGTGGGCTGTGCGTCCCCTGTAGCCTGTATGTAGCCACCTCTAGTTTAGTTCTTGCAGTGTTCACTAGATGGCGGTACCGTCCCCTGTATGTAGCCACCTCTAGTTTAGTTCTTGCAGTGTTCCCTAGATGGCGGTACCGTCTCCTGTATGTAGCCATACAGGAGACGGTACCGCCAGTTCAGTTCAGTTCAGGCTGTCAAGGTTGATGGACGTGTTTTTTGAGCGCTCCGGATCGACTGCGCAGATAAGTGTTGTTGCATTTTATGAGCTTGTCTCTATAATTATAAGGCAGCGGTTGAAATCTTCGTAGCACTTAATTTATGGTACGGCTTTTTCGGGGGCCAGTCACCAGGTATTTATTAGTTAGTGCGGGTGTGTGTGTTTGAATTTTTTTGTTGTTGTTTTTTTTGTTTGCCACCCCGTTGGGGAGGTGCGCGTACATTGAACACGCAAATTTTTGTAGTAGAGCTTGGACTTTCTTTTTTTTTCGTAGTGCAGGGCTCGAGTTTAGTAATTATCGCGTATAGAGACAATTGGTGTCAGAAAGGCATGGTTAAAAAGACTGTAAAGTGTTCAGGATGTGGAGTGGGTTTGAAAGTGGACCCAAGCGTAGAAGCGGATGGAGAAGAGGCTGACGCGAAGTGTAGGCAATGTGAGGTCGAGGAAAAAATGGAGAAAATGATGGTTGCCTACAGTGAACTGCTGATGAGAATCGCCAAACTCGAGACTGCGTTGGCGACAGAGCAAGAAAAAACGAGGGCAATGGGAGAAAGACTGAAGTCCGCCGAGGAAGTGCTAGTGAAGCTGAACAAAGAAGCGACCTACCGAGCGAACAGTAGGGAACTGGCAACCAGAACGGTGGAGAAGGAAAAGCAAGCAAGCTTGGAAAAAACAGGTTTAGCCGGTTCAACTGTCGCAAGGCCCAGCTTCAGCGAGGTAGTGGTGGGGCAGGAAGGGAACAAAAGAGCCGGCGTCACAGGTGCAAGTAATCCCCAGGTGCGGGACGCTCCAGCTGAAAAGTCACAGCATGTGATAATCGCCGGGGACTCGAATTTAAATCGATGCACAGAAGCCATCAAAGAGAGGGTAAGAGGTGACAAGAGGGTTGCAGTAGGGGCGTTCCCAGGACGCAAGCTGGAAGCAGTCATGAAGCAAGCGAGCGCAAAGCTCAAAACGACAGCTGATAGACGCAACCTCGTGATAATTTCAGGCGGTTTAAACGATGTCCTAAATTAAGATGCAGCAGGACTAGCAGCCACACTGTCGAAAGGCGTCGATGACATGCGCGCCACTTCTCCTAAGGTGCAGGTAGTGATATGCACGATACCGGAGGTACCGGTGCGTGATAGCAACCTGCAAAGAGCGGTGGTCAACGCAAACCAAGAGATATGGCGGATGAGTCGAGAGAAAGGCTTTGAGGTGGTGGAAATAAACAGAGAGGTGCATAGGTGGGGGGGTTTTCAACGAGACAGAATTCACTTCGATGGGCGGCTAGGTCATGAGGTGGGTTGGCGACTTGCAGGACGCGCAGTAGCTTTTTGGGGGCAAGCGAGCCCTTCGGGGTGCAGGATAGCTAGTAACGAGGAAAACAACCAGGGAGACTCTTCGACAGGTGGTATGGACAGATACGATTCCAAAGTGGCACCAATATCAAAGATACGTAGAGTCCGGGGCATAAATAGACGTAGCCACGAGCGCCGAGCCAATTCAGACATAGGGTATATTAACATGCAGGGTGGTAGGAACAGGCTGAAGTGGGAACAGATAGAAGAACAGCTAAGGGAAGAGAGGCCGATGGTATATGGCTTTGTAGAAACACATCTCAGGGACATGGAACAACCTCCGAACAATCCGGACTACGCGTGGGAGTATTGTAATAGAACAGAAGGCCGCAGAAAGGGGGGTGTTATTGGGGCA